CAATTCATTTTCTGGCAGAGACAAAGGAGACACGTTTTATCCGTGGACCCAAAACGCTGACGCTGGTCACGGACTGGGGAAGGCAGCCTTCGCTTGGTGTTTAATCATTGCAGAGACGCCTCTCTGATTACTCACCCACGTTTCAGAGGTGTCTGACCACGCTGCAGGGACACCTGCCTTGGTCCTTCACCCTAAGCGGCAAGTCCCGCTTTTCTGGGGGAGGGGCAAGCACCCCAACCCCTACCCTCCCTGTCTCTACCCCTTCTCTGCTTTTCTGGGGGAGGGGCAAGCACCCCGACCCCACCCCTTCTCTCCCTGTTTCTACCCCTTCTCTGCTTTTCTGGGGGAGGGGCAAGAACCCCGACCTCTTATTTTGCGCCCCCTATTTTTGCGCCCCCTCTTATTTTTGTGTCCTGGCCTCTTCTTTTTGCGCCCCCTCTTATTTTTGCACCCCAATACCTTATTTCTGCTCCCCGACCCCTTTCCTGCTTTTATGGAGGGCAAGAACCCCCAAACTCCTTGTCTGTTTCTACTCTCTCTTTTCTCTGGGCTTGCCTCCTTCACCATGGGCAACCCTCCACCCTCCATTCTTCCTTCTTCTCCGTAGCCTGTGTTCTCAAGAACTTAAAACCTCTTCAACTCACACCTGTTCTAAAACCTAAATGCCTTATTTTCTTCTACAATGCTGCTTGACCCCAATACAAACTTGACAGTAGTTCCAAATAGCCAGAAAACAGCACTGTCAATTTTTCCATCCTACAAGACTTAAATAATTCTTGTTGTAAAATGGGCAAACGGTCTGAGGTGCCTGACGTCCAGGCATTCTTTTACACATCGGTCCCTCCCTAGTCTCTGTTCCCAATGCAACTCGTCCCAAATCTTCCTTCTTTCCCTCCCGCCTGTCCCCTCAGTCCCAACCCCAAGCGTCATTGAGTTTTTCCAGTCTTCCTTTTCTACAGACCCATCTGACCTCTCCCCTCCTCACCAGGCTGAGCTAGGTCCCAATTTTCCTCAGCCTCCACTCCCCCACCCAATAATCCTTTTATCGCCTCCCCTCCTCACACCCAGTCTGGCTTACAGTTTCATTCTGCAACTAGCCCTCCCCCACCTGTCCAGTGATTTCCTCTTAAAAAAGTGGCTAGAGCTAAAGGCATAGTCAAGGTTAATGCTCCTTTTTCTTTATCCGACCTCTCCCAAATCAGTTAGTGTTTAGGCTCTTTTTCATCAAATATGAAAAACCCAGCCCAGTTCATGGCCTGTTCAGCAGCAACTCTGAGATGCATTTCAGCCCTAGACCCTGAAAGGTCAGAAGGCCATCTTATTCTTAATATGCATTTTATTTTATTACCCAATCTGCTCCCGACATTAAATAAAACTCCAAAAATTAAATTCCGGCCCTCAAACCCCACAACAGGACTTAATGAATGTTGCCTTCAAGGTACACAATAATAGAAAAAGGCAGCCAAGTAGCAACTTATTTCTGAGTTGCAATTCCTTGCCTCCACTGTGAGACAAACCCCAGCCACATCTCCAGCACACAACTCCAAACGCCTGAACCGCAGCTGCCAGGGGTTCCTCCAGAACCTCCTCCCCCAGGAGCTTGCTACAAGTGCCGGAAATCTGGCCACTAGGCCAAGGAATGCCCGCAGCCCGGGATTCCTCCAAAGCCATGTCCCATCTGTGCGGGACCCCACTAGAAATCAGACTGTCCAGCTCGCCCAGCAGCCACTCCCAGAGCCCCTGGAGCTCTGGCCCAACACTCTCCGACTGACTCCTTCCCAGACCTTCTTGGCTTAGCGGCTGAAGACTGATGCTGCCCCATCGCCTCGGAAGCCTCCTGGACCATCACAGACGCTTTGGGTAACTCTCACAGTGGAGGGTAAGTCCGTCCCCTTCTTAATCAATACGGAGGCTACCCACTCCACATTACCTTCTTTTCAAGGGCCTGTTTCCCTTGCCTCCACAACTGTTATGGGTATTGACAGTCAGGCTTCTAAACCTCTTAAAACTCCCTACTCTGATGCCAACTTGGACAACATTCTTTTATGCACTCCTTTTTAGTTATCCCCACCTGCCCAGTTCCCTTATTAGGCTGAGATATTTTAACCAAATTATCTGCTTCCCTGACTATTCCTGGACTACAGCCACATCTCGTTGCCGCCCCTCTCCCCAACCCAAAGCCTCCTTTGCATCTTCCCCTCGTATCCCCCCACCTTAACCCATAAGTATAGGATACCTCTACTTCCTCCTTGGCAACTGATCATGCACCCCTTACCATCTCATTAAAACCTAATCACCCTTACCCCACTCAACGCCAATATCCCATCCCGCAGCACGTGTTAAAAGGATTAAAGCCTGTTATCACTCACCTGCTACAGCATGGCCTTTTAAAACCTATAAACTCTCCTTACAATTCCCCCATTTTACCTGTCCAAAAACCAGACAGGGCTTACAGGTTAGTTCAAGATCTGTGCCTTGTCAACCAAATTGTCTTGCCTATCCACCCCGTAGTGCCAAACCCATATACTCTCCTATCCTCAATACCTCCCTCCACAACCCATTATTCTGTTCTGGATCTCAAACATACTTTCTTTACTATCTCTTTACACCCTTCATCCCAGCCTCTCTTCGCTTTCACTTGGACTGACCCTGACACCCATCAGGCTCAGCAAATTACCTAGGCTGTCCTGCCACAAGGCTTCACAGACAGCCCCCATTACTTCAGTCAAGCCCAAATTTCTTCCTCATCTGTTACCTATCTCGGCATAATTCTCATAAATACACACTTACTCTCCCTGCTGATCGTGTCCGGCTAATCTCCCAAACCCCAATCCCTTCTACAAAACAACTCCTTTTATTCCTAGGCATGGTTAGTGCGGTCAGAATTCTTACACAAGAGCCGGGACCGCATCCTGTAGCCTTTCTGTCCAAACAACTTGACCTTACTGTTTTAGCCTAGTCCTCATGTCTGCGTGCAGCGGCTGCCGCTGCTTTAATACTGTTAGAGGCCCTACAAATCACAAACTATGCTCAACTCTCTACAGTTCTCATAACTTCCAAAATCTATTTTCTTCCCCCAACCATCGCTCAAGACAATGCTTATGCTGATAAGTTAGCTAAAAAAACAGCTAGCATTCCAACTTCTATCCCTCACGGCAGTTTTCCTCCTTCACATCGGCCACTCCCACCTACTCCCCGCTGAAACTTCCACCTATCAATCTCTTCCCACACAAGGCAAATAGTTCTTAGACCAAGGAAAATATCTCCTTCCAGCTTCACAGGCCCATTCTATTCTGTCGTCATTTCATAACATTTTCCATCTAGGTGACAAGCTGCTAGTCCACCTCTTAGAACCTCTCATTTTCTTTCCATCATGGAAATCTATCCTCAAGGAGATCACTTCTCAGTGTTCCATCTGCTATTCTACTACCCCTCAGGGATTATTCAGGCCCCCTCCCTTTCCTACACATCAAGCTGGAGGTTTTGCCCCCTTCCCAGGATGGGCAAATTGACTTTACTCACATGCCTCCAGTCAGGAAACTAAAATACCTCTTAGTCTAGGTAGACACTTTCAATGGATAAATAGAGGCCTTTCCCACAGGGTCTGAGAAGGCCACCGCGGTCATTTCTTCCCTTCTATCAGACATAATTCCTCAGTTTGGCCTTCCTACCTGTATACAGTCTGGTAATGGACCAGCCTTTAATAGTCAAATGACCCGAGCAGTTTCTCAGGCTCTTAGTATTCAGTGAAACCTTTATATCTTTTACTGTCCTCAATCTTCAGGAAAGGTAGAATGGACTAAGGGTCTTTTAAAAACACACCTCACCAAGCTCAGTCACCAACTTAAAAAGGACTCAACAATGCTTTTGCCACTTTCCTTTCTCAGAATTCAGGCCTGTCCTCGGAGTGCCCATTTGAGTTCCTGTGTGGACACTCCTTTTTATTAGGTCCCAGTCTCATTCCAGACACCAGACCAGCTTGGACTGCACCCCAAAAACTTTCATCCCTACTGTCTTCTGTCTAGCCATACTCCTATTCACCATTCTCAACTACTCATAAATGCCCTGCTCATGTTTACACTGCCAGTTTACACTGTTTCTCCAAGCCATCACAGCTGATATCTCCTAGTTCTATCCCAAACCGCCACTCTAAATTCCGTCTTAAAGTAAATAAGTAATCTTTGCTGGTGAGGCTATGCTGAGCCTCCTTAAGCACTCTCTAATTAGATGTCCTAGGTCCTCCCAATTCTTAGTCCTTCAGTGCCTGTTTTTTCTCCTTCTCTTACCTTGTGTCTTCCGTTTAGTTTTTCAATTCATACAAAACCGCATCCAGGCCATCACCAATCATCAAATACGACAAAGGTTTCTTCTAACGACCCCACAATATCACCCCTTACCACAAAATCTTCCTTCAGCTTAATCTCTCCCACTCTAGGTTCCCACGCCGCCCCTAACCCCGCTTGAAGCAGGCCTGAGAAACATCGCCCATTCTCTCTCCATACCACCCCCCAAAGCTTTTTGCCACCCCAACACTTCAACACTATTTTTCTGATTAATATAAGAAGGCAGGAATGTCAGGCCTCTGAGCCCAAGCCAAGCCATCGCATCCCCTGTGACTTGCACGGATATACGCCCAGAGGGCCTGAAGTAATGCCAGATGGCCTGAAGAATCACAAAAGAAGTGCAAATGCCCTGCCTCGCCTTAACCGATGACATTCCACCACAGAAGAAGTGAAAATGGCCAGTCCTTGCCTTAAGCGATGACATTACCTTGTGAAATTCCTTTTCCTGACTCATCCTGGCTCAAAAAGCTCCCCCACTGAGCACCTTGTAACCCCCACTCCTGCCCGCCGGAGAACAACCCCCCTTTGACTGTAATTTTCCTTTACCTACCCAAATCCTGTAAAACGGCCCCACCCTTATCTCCCTTCGCTGACTCTCTTTTCGGACTCAGCCCGCCTGCACCCAGGTGAAATAAACAGCCATGTTGCTCACACAAAGCCTGTTCGGTGGTCTCTTCACACGGACGCGCATGACAATTCCCCTTTCCCACTGTCACAGCTTGGGCACTCACAGTATTTGGGCTGTCTCCCAGGTGCTGCAGGAGCAATCCACTTCCTTCAGAGGGTCTATGGATTCGCTCGGCATTCCTGGTATATTCCTGCAGTAGTTCTGGAGCAAAAGTTAATGATGCGAGTCTCCACATGCTGCTCCGTTTGTCCAAGCTGGAGCTTCAAGTTAGTCCTGCCTTCTATCTGCCATCTTCCTTCTGAAAAAAAAAAAAAAAAAAAAAAATAGCTGGTTTTATCCTGTTAATCATTAATCTTTCATTTAACTGGAACTATCTAGGAAACACTGATCGAACCTTCCCCATAGCCATCCCTTCAGTCCTTCATAGGTTGAGGAGACGTTTCCTGAGCACCAGCTGTGTTTCCGACACTGTGCCAGGAGACAGGGACTCAGTGAATGGGACACAGCCCCTGCCCCTCACAAAGCTCACCGTCAAGAAAGATCGATCCTTGAGACACAAAGCCCAACCTATTAAGGGCTCACCATTCATTCGGTGCCATTTCTTCCTCATAAAAGCCAAATGAAAACTGACACCCACTTCCTTCTGGAAGGGTTTAAGTCTAGAAAAGGACAGGCTCTACTGGTGCATCTTCCAATTATGCGACACAGTTTTCCTTCCCAATTATCTTTAACCAATTATTAAGATGTCCACAGTATCCCCAGGGGGAAGACAGAAAACTGCCAATGCGAAGAAGCAACAAGCATCACAAACCCAAATTTCAGAGCTGTCACCACCAAATGAAATCAGGAGCCCAAGTGTAAGGAAGAAATAACCAATTTGCAAACTATACGTGCAATCCAAATGAAAATTCAGGAACCATGTAGTTTATGAATGAAATCACAGTACACTGAACACTCTCATTTTGAATTGCTTGTATCAATAAAGTACCATTCAGAATGTACAAGATTATTAATGTATGGGTTTTGGTTTTTATCCATCCTCTCAAATACAGTGCTCTATGGAGCAAATCTAAATACGCAAACCAAGCAGAGCTTTGCAGTGATACCATTCTTTGCTGCCTTAGTCTGTGTAGCTTCACTGACATTGTGTTGGGTTTTTCTTGCCACATTTGCATATAAAGTAAAGCACATTGTCTCACTGGTAATTTGCCTTCCAAGGTGTAAGCAGATATTTGTGTTCATAGTTTGTCTTTTCCCTTAATGCTTCTTTCTCCATTCCTCATAAGGAAAAGATTTTACCAAGTGTTTACAATATTCTCAGAATATTAGACATCGCCACGTGACGAAGTGATGTATCTTGCTGTTTTTGAAGTGATAGAATCCCAGACTGAGTTGAAAGGGAATTTAGTGAAGATTCTGTCCTTCACACTCCAGTCATCACAGGATAAACCTCATGACCTCTGTACATAATGTTACTCCCCTAGGCAGAGATTAAGCAGAACTAGAGCTTCAGAAAATCTGATAGTCAAAATGAGAGGAAGTAGAGCAGAGAGAGGAGATCAGGGAAAGAGAGAGAGCTTTTGAATACAATTTATAGAGAAAAAGAAAAAGGCACTATAGTTACCCTGGGATGGGGGCTGGGGGGTTACAAGTTTATTGTGCTTTTGTAATGCTTTATAGTTTAGGATTCTTTTCATTTTTAATTACATATAGGATAACAGGGCACTACAATCTTTTCAGTTTGGGGCCTGATAAGGTTTTACTGTAGCTCTGAATCTGTCATGACCACTGTTATTACACTTTAAAGGGATCCCAATCTCAGGATTTGGCATCATCCAGGCCTAGGTTGGAACCTTGCCTTTACCACATTCTAGCTGTGTTACTTTGGGCAATGCATGTCCCCTCTCTGAGCCTTATCTGTGAAATGTGCAGTCAGTGAAGTGACAGTGGAAGGGGAAGGAGAGAGCACGCCATTCACAGCTACATGGCACTCAACAAGTATGATGAATTATTGTTATTTATGGAGCCTCTGTTTGAATACTTGTAGCAGGGAGAACTCACTTTCTCACCAGAGCCGATGCATCACCCATTGGTCACCCAGAAGAAGTGACTCCTGTACTCAGCCTCATCCGACTCACCTGCTGTGGACAACCTCCCCTTTTTTTTTTTTTTTTTTTTTTTTTTGAGACAGAGCCTTGCTCTATCCCCCAGGCTGGAGTGCAGCGGCGCAATCTCGGCTCACTGTAAGCTCCGCCTCCTGGGTTCCCACCATTCTCCTGCCTCAGCCTCCCGAGTAGCTGGGACTACAGGCACCCGCCACCACGCCCGGCTAATTTTTTGTATTTTTTTAGTAGAGACGGTGTTTCACCGTGTTAGCCAGGATGGTCTCGATCTCCTGACCTTGTGATCCACCTGCCTCGGCCTGCCAAAGTGCTGGGATTACAGGTGTGAGCCACCGCGCCCGGCCAACCTCCCTTTTCAACAGCCTCCAGCACAGACAGTGAGCTCAGGACACCTAAGGAGGGATGAATGGTGCTGTGAAAGGAAGAGCCCTTTATCACCTGGTCATGATGAGACAAGTCGGAACCAGCTGGAGCTGTACTGCAGCTTCCTCATGCTCTTTTGGTTACAGCCTCATCAGGCCTGGGAATCATTCTGAGCAACCAGCTCACCCCGGTTATAATACCCTGGTCCCAGCGACCCTGTAAAAGATCTGGACTTGGTGCATTTAAAGATCTGGCAGCAAGAACAGTCAGCTCTGTAAGAGTGGCATGGTACTCGGGCTGGGCACGGTGGCTCACACCTGTAATCCCAACACTTTGGGAGGCCAAGGCAGGAGCATCACTTGAGGCCAGTAGTTCAAGACCAACCTGGGCAGCATAGTAAGATCCTGTCTCTACAAGAAAAAAATTAAAACAGCCAGGCATGGTGGTGTGTGCCTGTAGTCCTGGCTACTCAGAAGGGAGGATCACTTGAGCCCAGGAGTTTGAGGCTACAGTGAGCTATGATAGCATCACTGCACTCTAGTCTGGGTCATGGAACAAGACTGTATCAAAAAAAAAAAAAAAATGACATGGAACTCACTCCTAGAATCATATGGTAAGCTCATGGAAAATAAGATTCTATTTGGGGAAAATCCCTAAGTCTCCTCCTGTACCAGCTCAGGGACAGTGTTGTTAAAGTGATTTCATCACATTTGCCTGTGATGAAATCAGGAGAGAACTTGCCCATCCCCACTCTGGAGTCCATACCCTTGGCAATTATGACATTTGCCCACACAGACATTCTCCATATCAGCTGGCTGCGGTGGGCTAAAGGACAACAGGGAAAATATAATAGTTTGAAGCCAGTCACTGAAGAAAAGAGCCAAGGGTTTAAGACCTCAGGCTTTGGAGTGGCTCAGCCACATCCTAGCTAGATGCCTCTCGACGCCTCTATAAAATGGGGGCTGGGGCCATTTTCCTCATGGGTTGGGATGTAGATATTGAGGAGATGCTGTATGTAGGGTACCGAGCCCAGGGCTTGGCACTTGGTGATTCCTCAGTAGCTGACAGTTGCTAGCTGGCAGGGCTTGGGAGAAGCTCCAAGGGTGTCTCTAACACCCGTACTGGACTCTTCTATGCTCAGACACCACCACACCTTTTCCAGCGCTGTAACTGGCCCATTAGAATGGTTGCATTAAACAGACTATAAAATGACATCAGTCCCTGAAATGCACCTAAACTAAACTACTATGGGCTAGGTGGGGGAGGGTGCAGTGGACTATTCAGATTTGCACATCAATCTTGTTCCTGTGTAGCAGGTCCAATGACCTCTGCAAAGAGCCTGCTCATATACACGCATGCATATACCCAAACACACACACACTCACACGTCACACATTGGACAAGTGGGCCTATTCTGATTGTCCAGTGACTCTTCCTAAGTCACCTCCAAGAGAGAGAATGAGGGACCTGGATTCCTGGAGGACTGCAGAGAGGAAGGAGCTGCCGCCTGGAGCCTTGCAGGGAGGGAACAGGCTCAGCCACAGACCACTGTGTCACCTTCAGCAGTGACTTCACTTCTCTGAGCCTATTTCTTCATTTATAAAGATGTGCCATTTTGCCTGCCCCCACAACAGTTCACTCTGGAAACCAAGATGCTGCATGAAACCCCAAATGTTCCCTCTTCCCAGACTCAACACAATCTAATCAATTAAGAGGGGAAACTGTAGATATATTCTTCTATTCAGATCTGAGCTGTCCAGTATGGTAGTTACTAATAGCCATGTGCCTATTTGAACTTAAATTTAAATAACTAAAGTGCAATAAAGTTTAAAATTCATTTTCCCAGTTGCACTAGCCACATGTTAAGACTCAATAGCTACATGTGTCTGATGGTCAGCATAGTAAATGGCACTGATAGAGAACATTTCTGCCATTTCAGAAAGTTCTATTGGACAGTGCTGATTAAGATCATCCAAACATTAATGGCTAGTAATAATGACAGACAATAAAAAGATAAACAGTAGTCTATATAAATAGATATATGTCTGAATAATAGGAACTAGGTAGATAAGAAACAAGGATACACAAAAACTAGAAATACATTGTAGATAATTCTATGGACTGAATTGTGTCCCCTGCTAAATTCATATATTGAAGCCCTAACTCCCAAAGTGATGGGATTTGGAGACAGAAACCTCAGAGAGAGAATTATGTTTAAATGAGGTCATGAGGGTGGGAGCTCACCCTTCATCATGGTATTAGTGCCCTTATAAGAAGAGGAAGAGACACCAGAGCTCTCTCTTTGCCATATGAGGACTCATGAAGAAGGTAGCCATCTCCAAGCCCGCAAGAGTCCTCACCAGGAACCAAATCAGTCAGCAGGTTAATCTTAGACTTCCCAGCTTCCAGAACAGTAAGAAATGAATGTTTTTGAAGCCTCCCAGTCTGTGGCATTCTGTTTAGCAGCCCGAGCAGAACAATACACATAATAAGGGTAAATTAGTTTAGTCCAGCTTCTCTTGTTCATGTGAACTGAACTTTTCATCTTGAAACCAGTTCTACAAAGAGCAGATTTTCCCTGGGTGAGTAAGATGTGGCTCTCGGCAGACAGCCACCCGCAGGCCTCTGGGAAAGGCCAGGTGCTGTGCCTGTTTGTTTTTGCAATGAAAACCTTCAATGGCTGCAGTGTCTCCTCCTCCCAAAAGGTTTCTAAATTGGATTTTCCCCTAGGTTATAATGAACAGGCTAATAAATGTCAACCCTGGATGTGAGAGGACTAGAAAGGGGAGACCATTTCATCCCATGTCTAAAT